GAGTTTTGACTGGTGTCCTGTACTTGGGTCAGAAGGGGAAGCAGCACTGCACCTTTTTCCTTGTGATGAAGAGAGAAGTTAAAACATGACTGCTCGTACCTACCAAAACCTCTTTCTGGTAAGTATGTGCTGAAAACAAATGTGTTTCTTTTGTATATATACATTTTACTATTTTTGCTGTACCAAGGTAATGCCTTTAGTGTGCAAAAGCACACAATGTAACTTGGAACTATATAACACTGTATATTTGTTTGGAGATGCATATTTGTAAAAAATATGCCCATCATGTCATGCGTTTTTCCTTCAAAGTGGTCTTCATCAAAACAGTGGGATATATGTAGGTTAGTATAACACATGCAATCCTTAATTATGGTATTCTTGAATACCACAGATCCCTGGTATTCATTCCACATTGACTGCACACAGTGGAAATGGCTCTCTCTTTCACAGAGATGGGGTTTGGAATGGAGGATAGGAAAGGCTCTCATGTTTAAGAATGGTACAAAAAAAAAGCACATCAACAGAGAAAGAACTGAGAATATAGGCAAATATTTAAACACGTGCCTACACTTAGGAAAAAAACATACATACCCTAGCTAAACTAGAACCTAAAGTAACTTTAGTGCTATAATGCTACACTGAAGTTCAATGTTCAATTTACCAGGGCAGAAAGCTCCATGAAATAAGGCTGCTGTTCTTCCGGGATCTGAACGAGTATTTGAACATTCATTATGCAACATACAAATGTCCTAGAATTAACCCTTAAAGTTATTCTGTGTTTCACTTTCATAGTAACCTCAGATCTGCATCCTAGACCACCTTATTAAGCCAGGCCTTTTTAGATATGCCTGGCAATAAGTGCTGATGGTCTATTTATGCATTTTATGTCTTTCATCTGTATGTCCAAGCATTCCCATTATTCAATATGCATTCACACAGGAAATGCTAGTACATTTACTCTGGTGTACATTTATGCACACATTTCCCAGGCTTATTATGTATGTGCAGAGCTGCATGTTCTCATGATGGCATGTACTTGAGTATGTACGTTCTTAATTTGGTTCTGATACTTATAATGTGTTTATATATTCATGTTTCATGCTGAAAAAACTGTGCCATCTTCCACAGATGTCTGTCCCTTTAACTGCTCATCTGTTCTCAACTGCCTGCTACAACCATCTATACTACCATGTGGCTAGAGACACGCTGGAAGAACATCCGCCAAACCTTGCTGCTTCTTTTCACTGCTGCTCTTCTCATCGGGGTCACCATGCTGGCCATTTCATCTAACATCAACCCAGTAGGCTATTTCTTTCTGGGGGTAGGGGGAGTGTGCCTGGTCGGCTATTTGCTGAGTGTGTTTGTCGAGTGTTACCTGAGGAATCAACACCAACATGACACAAATGAGATACCTCCAAGGCAAAGCCAAGCAGGGTAAGCAGCAACCTGGTTATTCCTCCTACTTTAACTCTCTCACCTCAGTTATGGCCATTTTACATACTGCTTTGCTGCCTTTCCCCTCGGGCACCAAACACAGACTCCATTCCCAAAGTCAAAAGATTTTTTTTACATTGTTTTCCTTCATTCTTCAGATGGAAGCAGCAAATTTCTATGCCATGCATGTCCTGTATCTTGTACAATATGTATTTTCTCCTCCTCAGGAACTGATCCACTAGAAATTTCCAAGGTTAAACAGATCCAGGCCCGGTTTTATTTTTCTTTGAGTAATCGAGGCTTGCCAAACAATGAGTCAGACAAGGAACAAGAAAAAATGCTGAAGCAATACTGAAGCTTATTTGGGTTTAGCGCTGTAAACCTTATCTCCAGAGCAACTCTTTCTTGGCAAACTTTAGAAAAGGAACCTGTAACTGGGTGTGTTTCCAGTCTTAAAATCCCAACTTGACACTAATAAACCCTGATTTTGAGAGGGTTTGAATACTTCCACTTCTTTTTGGATTCATGTACATTTGCAGGTTCTTAGCATCACCTAATTTAACCCAGTTTGCCTACTGTAATTGAAAAGTTTAAGTTTATTTGCATCTTTTCTTCCTTGTATAACCCAGATAATCATTAGCCGCATCCATAAAAGACTTGACATTCTCAAATACAGGGTTTGTAGGAGGGCAAAAATGCTATTATGTGTCTATTTTTAGAAAGACTATGTAAAAAGAAGTCTATATTGGGCTTTGCTAGCTTGGAGGCATACTAAAATAAAACTAGTATCCTTCTATTTAAAAATATTACCTGAAAAGGAAATTGTTTCTAAAGTAACATTTTTTTCTCTGCAGATAATTCTTTCTAACACAGAATAATTAGTCCTTGTTTAGACTAAATTAAAACACTTAGTTTTCTCCACTTCTTAAAACAGATGAACATGGAGCTAATGTATTAAGAAAGGTCCTGGTTTATTCCAATAAGTAATTAGTAGATAGCAATTCTTCATAAAAAATTTTAAGGGGTATGAGATTTTAACTGAGGGACATCAAGCTAAGCCTAGGACACTGAATTGAACAGTGGGTGTTGCTTCACTTAGTTCAGGGAGTGTAAGAAAATGGTCAAATGAGCCATTCTCTATACTAGGAAGCAAGACATTGCTGGCTGGGCAAGTGAACTAATCCAAGGTCAGAATATCCCATACAGCAAGACCACATGAGATATCCTGCCTCAGTCCCATCTATTTATTGACTGTAGCATGGTCCCTATAGTACATTATCCATACTATCTGCCTTTGCATAAACTAAGCAGTAAAGTAACCAGAGTAACAGGCGTTCCTCTCTTGCCCAGGGTGAATGCTGCCTATGAAGCGCCCACCTATGAGGAGGTGATGAACATGTCAGCTCCAGCAATATGGACAATTCCATCCAATCCAGGCTCAGTGCCCTCACCACTGAGCGAGCCTCCTCCTTACAATGCAGTTATTGAATCCTCTGCCCAACAAGAGATTATGGTGGAGGCTCTCAGAGTGTCAGTGCCACCAGACACAAGGTACACCTCTGAGACAGATACAGTCTCCAGGATGCAGCTGCAGCTGGTGCTGCCCCCAAGACTCCAGCGGTTCGTTTCGGACATCCATGAGGAGAAAAATATTGAAGACAGGTTTGAACCACTAGAGCCACTCACGCCACCACCTGCTTATGAGAGTGCCATCAGTGATGAGGTCTTTGAAGATGCTTTCCCGCCCTCCACATTATGACTAATTTCACCTTCCGTGAATACAGAACCAAACCCTGATCCCAATACAGGATGCTCCAAGAAGGAAGGTGAAAGAGCTGAGATACTTCATGCCTGAAACTGGAAAAGTTTGTCTCCCCATTCTTTGAACCAGAGCTGAACTACAGACACAGCTTCTGATGTCACTAGAATAATTTTGCACAGAATATAAATCAATGCAATACTACAATGCTTTGTCTTGGCAGGTATGTAAAGCCACTAGGAGGAAAGTTGTGTGATATATGGCAGCATTCTCAAACTGGAGATACACCTTTATGGGGGAGGAGAGTAAATCATGGGAACAGACAATGTTGCCAAAGGACCTTGGAAGAAGGACTGTAGGGTGCAGCCAGAAACTGCCTGGGAAAGAGGAGGAATAGAAACAGCACTAAGCAGGTTCTGCCTGTGCATTATGAACAACAGTACTGCTCAGAGTTGTGCAGTAATTGGCCACCTGAAAATCCCTATGGAGAGTCTGATGCTGCAATTCTGTGAGTTGCTATTCACAGAATCAGTTAAGCTGGAAGGGACCACAATGGGTCATCTGGTCCAAACCTCCCTACTCGAGCAGAGGCATCCTAGAGCATATAGCTCAGGGTTGCATCCAGAGAGTTCCCAAATACCTCCAGTGAGGAAAAATCCATGATCTTCATGGACAATCTGTTCCAGTGTTCAGTGACTCGCATAGTAAAGAAGTTCTTCCTTGTATTCAGGTGGAACTTCTTGTGCATCAGTATTTGCCCGTGACCTCTTGTTTTATAGGTTTCCACAAGTGAGAAGAGTATAGCTCTATCATCTTGGCACCTCCTGTTTATGTACTTGAATATATTAATGAGGTCTTCTCTCAGTCATTTCTTCTCAAGACTGAACAGGCCCAGCTCCCTGAGCCTTTCCTCGTAAGTGACATGCTCCAGTCCCTTAATCATTTTTGTTGCTCTCCACTGGACTCACTCCAGGAGCTTCATGTCCCTCTTGTACTAAGGAGCCCAGAACTGGGCACAGTACTCCAGGTGTGGCCTCATGAGAGCTGAGTAGAGAGGCAGGATCACCTCCCTCGACCTGCTGGCAATACTCTTCTTAATGCATCCCAGGATTCCATTGGCCTTCTGAGCCACAAGGGCACACTGTTGACTCAGGGACAGCTTGTTGCCCACCAGGAACCCCAGGTCCATCTTCTCAGAGCTGCTCTCCAGCAGGTCACTGCCCAACCTGTACTGGCGCTTGGGGTTATTCCTCCCCAAGTGCAGGACCATGCACCTGCCCTTGTTGAATTTCAGTTGGTTCTGCTCTGCCCATCCCTCTAACCCATGGAGGTCACTCTGAAAGGCAACGCAGACCTCTGAGGTATCAGCCACTCCTCCCCGTTTTGTATCATCAGCAAACTTGCTCAGAT